AACTCTGTCTGCAGACCAAGGATGCTGAACTGTGCTGAGTGACATCAGAGCCTGTCGTACATGTACATCAATGATCATTAACACACTAAAGTTGAGGATATGTCAGTCATTCTTTCTTATTTGTTTTCAGTCTGCTGATCTGAAATAAATATCTGAATGTATAACGTATCATGTATAGATCTCATATTGGGATTAATACTCAAGGCCTAGAGTCTGACAGGAGTCAAATTCTTTTCTTCCTCCTCTTCTGTCTGTGTCCTCCAACTACTTCTCTTTCTCCTTCAAATTAAGTGGAACTGGTGTAGTAGAGCTTCTCAGGTTCTCTGTATATAGTGCTATTGCATGGTAAATATGGCCTTAATGACTCGGCAGCGGGGGGCTCAACTGTTTAATGAGCACGCTCTCCTGCTCCACCACGATCAAATGAGAGCCTAATTTGATTTTCCTGCTTGACCTCTATTCCTCTCAGAAAACAACAAAGCACAGGGATTTTTTTCAAAGTCTTGTGCAGGAGTTGAGAAATGCAGAGGTGTGTGGAGAAAGAGAGAATAATTATCAGATTTTCCTCATGAGGATATAAATTGCACTGTACATTATACACAGTTAGCAAAGTGTTGCTTGCACATGCATACATAGGCAAGTTTCAAGTGCAAAATTCATATTAAACAGAATGCTTAATGGAACAGTTCTACATTTTGGCAAATATACTTATTTACTTTGTTGGCAAATTAAATGGGAGGATTTATACTGCCCTGACATTTATCCATAAACAAAGAATGGAAACATGGTTTGAACAAAAAGTGAACAATGAAATGACAGTTTACCTTACAGGGGGTTCTGTGTAGTACTATCTGCTGGCAAAGTGCAATACCTTCTTGGAGTATGGCTTGGTGACTTCTCAGAGCCAAGAAATGGTCTGGCACATAATCTGCACACAGCAGCAGAATGTCAACTTTTCACTTAAGTTTTTCTATGGATTAAAGAAACGAGATATGATGCGCGGATTTTGCAACCGTTGGACAAATAAGCCAGATAAGCTCTTTCCCCTGTTTCCATTCTTTGTGCTAAACTAAGCTAGCCTGCTGGCTGTAACCTTACATTTAACAGACAGACATCAGAGTAGTATCAATCACTTTGTGTTTTCTTTTGTTTTGTGTTGTGCTCTGTCATAAAAATCAGAACGGACAAACAAAAACGCTTGTTTTAAATGACAGCCGAAAAAAAGTACAAGGTTTTTACGGAGGTGTTGGGAAGAGATTAAAATCTGTGTTTTTTTTGTTTTTTTTGCAGAGCTCCTGTTGGAATCCCATCCTATGATTTGATCCCTTAGATGTGGCAGTGGAAGAGACCACTTCAGAAGAGACCGGCAGACCATGGCGTCACTACAGAGGAAAGCACACAGTGGGTGTCTAGACCAACAGTAACAACCTCATGTGCTGATGGCACCACATCCACAGACCACATGTGTTCTGTCCAACTGATGTCAACAGAGTTAAAGGCATCCGTTTTTTAGCACAAGACATGAATCCTTAAACTTCATGCCGTCCAGATGTGAATAAGTAACTTTAGACTGCTACTTTTTGTTTTCCTGCCCACACTCTATTATTTGCTTTGTACATACTTTTATTAATGAATAACTCAACTGTCACTCTCCATCCATTTTACTCATTGCCAAACTATCATAGTTTGAAGCTATTGTAAGTTTATCTGTCACTATTTGTGTAAATAGAGGTAGGAAATGAAATGTGGTCTGCGGAAAATCTAGTGAGTGAGGTCAAAGCTAATGGCATTTTTTTCCCCCCTCAAATAGACTTATCTCTTAACCACCTGTCAACCAGCCCCAAACTTTTTACATACCATAGTTACTTTTGTGTCATCCAATGAAATAGAAATAAGTTTTAATGTAACATTTACATAGAGCAACTTTTGTTTGTCCAGAAAAGGTCAGCTAAAAGTGAATGCTGTTTTCAGCTTTGCACTCTTCCAATCCCTAGTTGCACGCACACACACCTGGTAGTGACGCAGTACATTGACAGTCTCCTACTGCTGCCTCCGAGTAGCTCCCTTGGAGCTGTTGGTGGCTAAGTGCCTCACTCAAGGGCAGCTCAAGAATAATTTGGTGAGGGAATGGTGGCTCATAAGTCATTCAACTTCACCACTTTTTATTGACTGGTTTGGGAATTCAAAACAGAAATCCCCCGGTCGCAAACATTTGTTTTTGAGTTTTACATAAAATAAATTCAAAAAAAAATTTGAAAAAACATTTTGTTCACTCTGTCATTATGAGTTATTGAGTGCCAATTAATGAAAAAAATGGTAATTTTATCCATTTAAAATTAAATCTGCAAAACAAGAGTGAATGCAAAAAGGGAAAGGGTCTGAATACATTTTGAAGCAACTATATTTACAAAAACGTTTTGTAAAATTCTGTAATATGGAGTGTAGTTACACAAGTCAACATTTTCCCTCTGCTATTTTACTTCCATTCTATAGGGGAATGTGAGGATCTTGCAGATATTGTTTTGATGTATACCACATTTTGTAAAAGTCAGGGAGGAACCTGAGGACCGAAGGTGGTGAAGAGATGCATCTCAGCAGGGCTGTGAGACAAAATGCTTTCATGACACCTGCTGGTGTAGCATTCTGCTATCCAGACTCTGTTCCTCTCCTCCCACATCATCCATCCATCAACCCAGTGGTAGGTGCACAGAGCATAGCCACTCTCCATTTGTCAGTGCCCATCAGAAGTGGTAACATTCTCATTACATGCCTGCTGACCCTTTTGAAGACTAAAATAAACTCATGGGGTGTTGCAAGAAAATGTCACAAAGGATAAAATGCAGCCTACCACCTGAGCCAGATTAAGACACCAAGAAGGGGATTGCATCAACACATTTCAGTGTGTCACTTCACACCCAGTGTTGTGGTGGTGTTGTGTAATGAGTCATGTTTTTATTTAATTGACTAGAGAACTCACAGTGAACAAACAGCTGTCAAAACTGATATGGTTTGGGAAAAAAAAGAGGAAATGAGGGAGAAAAGGCAGAAAAGAAGGTCAGGAGGCAATGAGAAAGGAAGGCAGATAGGGAACAGGAGAGAATATTTTATTTCTTTAGCCTGTTAATGAGACAAAATGAAGGTCAAAATAAAGCAAACTGCAGACAGATAATAAAGTGATTACTTTCCTGTATGGTAGTTTTTTTCTACCATAGTTAGGTTTAAACACCCCAGTGTTTTTCAGACTGGTGCTGATTTTACTTTTTTAAGGCTTTAAATGTTTACCAAAGGTTGAGTCTTTTGAAATCGGTACAAAACCATCATGCTTCTGTTTCAGGGCCTCACAACGCCTGGTTGATTTTAGGAGCTGTCAACTGCTGAAACAACCAGTCATTAAATCAGTGCTGGATAATATGTAATAGAAAGGCACAGCCAAATTTGCATGAATGTCTTGATTAAATATTACTCGAAAACACTCATGTATTCCTCACCACTTAATAAATTATATCATACCTGGACACAGAGGACACTTCCCCTGATGGAAAGCACTTTGTTATGATCACGAGTAGCAGTTGAACTCTATTGATATTCTGCTTACTGATTACTGATTCTGGTTAAAAAAAAAAAAGTCTAAAGGTGAGCGGTTAGGCATGCATGCACATACTAAGAGAGACTGAGCAGGGAAGAAGAAAGAGGAAAGCGGAGAATAAAGACAAAGGGAACCACTTGCGCTGACATTTTATCCGAGAATCACAGAAAACCAATTCAAGCAGAGCATAGACATGTCCCTTCCAGGGGCTTGTGAATAGTGAGGTTTTTTTTCTTTATTCGCTTCACAAACCCTCTGATTCATTCAGAAAGAGGCCATCAACACAAGCTCAAGATCATTAAAGAATATGAGTGACATGAGTGTGTCTCCCCTCAGGATTTCACAAAATGTGATGATAATTGACACATTTCATGCACCTCATGATGGCGCTAAAGCAAAAAGTCAGAGGGTCACCAAAGTCAGTAGGCTTCATCCTCTGGGGAGCATGAATGTCTGTGTAACATTTCATGGCAATCCATTCTGTAGTTGGTTATATATTTCAGTATGTACCAGAGTAGAGGACAGACTGACGATAACATCTCTACAGACATGCAGCGATAATGGCTATAGTACTTTCATGACAACAGCATGTGTGGCTTATAGGCTCCGCACAGCATGCCAGAGACTTTCAGACCAATATGGCTTCAGGTTAGTGTCTGTTTTTTCAGATGTTACTGAGATGGATCAGTATTCTCTTAGTGGTCCTTAGTGCACTAGATACATACGTGAAATCTCATTCCTTGTGCCGATAATGACAGAAGAGCATTTTCTCTGTAGCTTCAAATGTTTTAAACCCCTCTTTGCTGGCATGTGACTATAATGCATATATGCTTTACCTTTTTATTCAGACAGATCTTCCTGGTGTGTTAATATGTTAAAAAATAAATAAATAATCACAAAAAAAGTTATTATGTTAATATGTGTTAATATGTTGAAACTTCATCAGTTAATGTTTGCGTACTAAAAGAAAGGAGAGCAAGGCATTCGCCAACCAGCTAATGAATTCAACACTGACATGTGACTCGAGGCTTGTTTAATTAGTCACCTAGACAACCGTTTAGCAAGCTTTATTAATTTGTGTCTGTCTGTTGAGTCCAAATATGTGAAACATGTTGCCTTCTCTCAGCACTCATGGGTAGGAATGTTTGTCTGTGTTCTCAGTCTATTGGTTCAAAGTATTCTTCACCTACAGTCGCTTTGTAAATAGCTGTGGCCTTGGTGACAGCCATACACCGCTCATTCCTCGCTTGGCCATTTCCCCGGACCCCTGCTCATCCAGTTCAGTCCAACCAGCGGCGCGCAGTGTGCAGTGCTCGTAGAGCGAGAGCACAGCACATCCCAGTCAGTTCTCTCTCTCTCTCTCTCTCTCTCTCTCTCTCTCTCTCTCTCTCTCTCTCTCTCTTTCATTCACACCAGGATGGATCTACCCTCTTAGCAGAGCAGAAGTCTACTTCGGCAGTTGGCAAGTTGGGCTCTCATTTGGGAGTGAAGCAGGAGCTGAAACAAACGTTTCTCCTTCTCCTCCCTGAGAAGATTCCTTTCACCTCCGCGCATCAACTTGGCTGTCGGAAACCCTACAAGATGACACCAACCGGGCTACACTCGCGCGTTCTGCTCCTGCTCTGCTTCGTCTCCACCACAGCGTGCAATACGTTTGCATTCACCGAGGAGCCCTCTGAGAGAGTCGGCAAGGCGGACGGGTATTGTAGTCGGATATTACGGGCTCAGACCAATCGCAAGGACGGCAACAACGAATTTCGCCTCCGCGTTGAAGGAGACCCGGACAATTACCAGCCAGGGAGCACATACAGAGGTGGGTGTTTGTCTGCCAGATTTACGCGCAGTGCTTTGCTTGGCACTATGTGCGCATTGTCAAATTAACACCAGGCTGCAGTCTGTCGGTTATGCAAACTCAAAAAATAAGTTTCTACTGGCTACTTTTGACCCTTCGCCGGTGTTTATGCCCTACAAGTGAACTATATTTGGTGAGTAAAGAGATGATCCTGCATGCAAGTGAGGGAATATGTATTTTAAGTATTAAAAATCAAATGTGACATCACTTTACTCACAACCTAATTTGAACACAAATGAATAAATAATCCTTTATGCTCAAGATTTTAAAAGATTTTATACAGGTAAATCTGTTTAATCTCTTTATATAGAGAAATTGATATATAACCTATATATAACAATGTCTTAAAAAGTCAGCCGTCCCTGGTTTCATTGTTTTTGTTGAAAGTTAAAGTTATTGGGTGCAGTCAGTGAATGGGCATGTGCCATCTGCTCTGGGAATCGTAAAGGCTCAGGCCGTTTTTCCCGACAAAACGTTGCATGTTGGTTCATTCTTTTCAGCTTTAATCAGAAATAGTTTTCCGTCATCCAGATAGTACAACAGAATTAACTCCAAGTGAGGAGTCAGAAATCACGTTTTTCTTTCAGCTACTCTGGAAATTAGTCATTTTGAAGTCTAAAAGCCATATCTCAAGATGCTGATAAAGTTGTCAAGTACAGCAAATTAAATTTTCCCCACAGTAAATTAACATTCTCTTATGTTCTGCTGGACTGCAAAGTGCACAAAACCCTATCTTCAACATCTTATAGAAAAATACTGCTGGGCTGAGAGTGAGCAGTTATAATTACTGTTATCTGAGCTACATCCTCAAGAACAGGTGAAACCTTTGATTGTGGGAAAAAAAAACAATTCTATCAGAATATATAACTGTATTTATCAGAGCTCAACGCATGCAGTGTTGTTTCTAAATCCAACACTTCTCAGGCACGTAGTTAGTGAGGGCCACCGTAGTCTCCTGTTTGGAATGAGGATTTTAGTTCAGCTTTGTTCTCTGCGGATTGATGCCTGCTGTCTCTCTTGTTTCTTCCATCTAGTGTCTGTGATTGCAACCAGCCCCTCCTACTTTAGAGGGTTCATCCTTATTGCCCTGAAGGAGGGCACAGAAGGAGACAAGGACGAGGACTTTGCTGGAAATTTCCAGGTGAAGTAGTGTATTAAAGATGTGAATATTGGTTTTCGTAAGAAAAAAAAAAATCTCAGTTTTTTTTCCCTCAGTTATCACAGTGCTGTCACATTGTAATTAATTATACAACACTCATCCTGGTCTGACACACCTGTAGTTGAACCCCAGGGCTTTAATGTCCATCCTTCATATTGGTGATACCATACATTTTCATTTATGACTCAGCAGCCACAAACAGACAGGGAACCAGTACAGCTAACCAAACCTGGCTTAACCCTTATATCAATTCCATCCAGCACTGTCCAAGACGTGTGTGGAAAGAGAGAAAAACATAGACAGATCATACTGTAGATGGGTGTGGTGGGGGTGGGGATGGATCTTGACAGTTTTTTTTTTTTTGCACAGTCTTCGTGTCTTCACATGTCAAAGTGTGATTCTTCTCACCTCACCTTCTCTAATAGGCTTGATATAGCATTTGAAAAGAGCATACTCTCAGCTCAGCTCCGTGTAGCTGACTGTGCCTTGCCAGGCTGAGAAAGTACTTGTGTGGAATTTGTGTTCTCACAATCAGCCGTACGGTTCATGTATGTAGGCAGTGTACAGTTGGTGTAGTTAAGAGGCTAATTAGCTTTTTATACAGGCAAGTCCAGCTGGAGCACTGTAGGAAGGAGGGAGAGAAGGGAGTGGGGCCGAGATTGCGAAAGGAAGAGAGAGTAAGCAAGGAAACTGGTGCTGAGACGCACACGTGATAATGACCAAATATGTGAGGCCTTGAGTAATTGTAATGCAGTGTTAGAATTGTAATGTGTGCGAATACAGAGAGTGGAGGAATAATAATCATATAATACTGTGATCAACTTAATACACTGATGTTATTTCTGGGATGTATACTTATTAAACATATAGTGCTATGCATACAGCACACGGTTATTACCTTAGATTACATTACAACACATTGACAGTGTAGAACTACATTGTAAGGTGAAAAAAAACCTTCCAAACCTAAACTTAATATTACATTCAAAACATTTCAATTCATTCCTCTTCACTGGCTCTTGTTCTGGTCTCATGCCTTTTAGCTTGCTATGTCCTGCCAATGCTTATTTCATCTCGGTCAAGGCTGCAGTTTCAAGAAATGCACAGAGCTTACAGAGCACAAGATGACATCCTGTTTTCAAAGCATTTGAAAAGAACTGAGCAACTGATTAATTGGTTTTAGCTTTGTCATTTACCCAACTATTAGAGAAATGCTGTAATATAGTTAACAGTAAAGCCAGTACAAGCACAATACAGTGTATTCCTTTTAAGAAAATGAAGGGCACACATAGAAACCCAGTTTTAACCCAAACCAAATTCCCACTCCTGCCCAGAGCCTGAAATCATATGTTTTCTTAGAGCGGACCCTGTAAAGGAGAAATTGTTGAATGGGTTTAACAGCATGTATGGAGTTCTCTTTTACAGATTCTTGTGAACCTGTCGGGTTCAGTTGTTTCCCATATAAAACCCTAGTATTTTATTGAACCTGTAGTACAGTATATGGGGAGGTTTGCACAGCAGCCCTCAGGCTGCTCTGATCAAAGTTATTGCCATGCTGGGGCACTCTCTGTGAACCTGAGCCTTGAATATGGGGGGGACATAAAAAACAGGAACATTTTATTTTTGTCCTGTGTGCACCTCACATCTCATTACCCAGTGTTAGCAACGGCAAGGTTTTTTTTGTTTTATTTGTCCTTGCAATTGATTTCATGCTGTTGTTATTTAGAGCCAGCCTTGAGCATAAAGAGGAGAAACGCTACATCATTTAGTCACGTTAAGTCACTTTGCTCCACACATAGAAGAGACTGAGTGTGGAGCGCACAGAGAAAGTTGTGATAGATAGAAGTGTTACCACAGCCTTCAGATGTTGGCATCAAAAGTAAAATGAATGGATACGTCATTACTGGGACCTGCCTTTGATTGGACTCCTGCTAGGTTTTAAAAAGTTGAAGGTCTCTTTCACAGCTGCAGATGATCACCTAGGTTTAGGTTTAAGCATCATGTGACAGTGCTTTAAAAAATAAACTGCTGTCCAAAGAGATATCCCTCCATCATCACCTGCTCAGTTAGTCTTTCATGTTTTTTGTCTTCTGTGTCAAAAAAACACAAACACACACACAGACACACACCATTCCTCCATTCTGAAAGAGCTCTGGGTGGGCCAACCTCCAGGCACTGAGAGAATAGAAAGAGAAAAGAAGCTGCAACAGAAGACGTCAGGCTTTATTTAACATACAGCTCATTTGAAATCTGCTGGTGTGCTACATTTCAGCCGTCTCACGACAGCTCCCGACTTGATGAAAAGCACTTTTATTGAGCTCTCTTGGGAGGTCAGCTGCCTCTGCGTCTGTGTGTGTGTGTGTGTGTGTGTGTGTGTTGGCAGGAGTGTAAACCACCAATGCTGGCGATGTCTGATGAGACATTACTTCTCAGCAGGGTGAGACGATGGAACAAGAAAAGGCAAATTGTTAAGTGGCTAAGTGGGGGGGGGGGGTCCTCTTTGAGTGCAACATATGACATAATCGTAGACACAGACATCGTGGGTGCATCATCTCCACATTATAATTCCACAAGGATGTTCTGATGTTAGGACAACAAAGATGTCTGACACTTAACCTCTATGCAAGAGATGTTGTCGTTTGGTTCTGAGCAGCAGCTACTGCAGAGCCAAGCACTTGCTCTGATGCATACGTTCTTGCAGAGACCCGACTCACTTTTCCAGTAATGTGTCCCACTTCTCTCTTTTTCTAACACTCAGCGTCTGTCTGTTGGTAGAAGATCTGAAAACTTGGAATTAGACACGTACAAGAAGAAATGGGTCATAGGTCATTTTGCAGCAAATTGGTCGTTTCTTTTTGCAGATGGTGTGTTATGCATTCCCATGAGACTTCACTGGTTTGAACATGTGTTGCAGTCCAGTCAGGCCAGCCCAGGATGCCTGTTAGAAACCATGGGAACATGGAGGGGGTATAATCCGTCAAACTGAGATAGGCTACATATACACAAATCGCATGCACACACACACACACACCCACACGCACACAGCTCCCAGGCTCCCCTTCTTACTCTCTCTGTCGCACACTGTCTCTAACACACGCACACATAGGCATGCACAGCCACACACAATCCACTTTCAGAGGGAACTCATTCATAACATGGCATGACAAAGGAAATTCTCTGCTGACAGCTTTATGGAGTGAGAAAGTTCCCCATCTTTACTGCCCTGATGTCACTTCCTATCAAACACATCCTTGGTCTCTGGGCAGTGAATATTAGCTCGCTGGCTGCAACCCACTCTACTAATTTCCGTCTAGTTAAAATCAATGAGATGCTTAGTATCTCCGGTGTGCACCTTAGGAGAGAGGGCAGCATGCATTTCAACTCTTCAGTGTGACCCAAAGAATCTTGAGACTTTTTTTTTTTTAATGTTGCCCACAGGGATAGTGAGATGATTAGGCATCTGGGTGTTAACTTTCTGATTGATCTGAGTATTGATGAATTCAATTTAATTGACTTTATTTCAGACAGTGTCAGTGCTGCTTTCCACTGAGACAGCTACATGTATCCTCCAGCTCCAGGTAGATGCCTGCTTGTGCCCACTAGGCTGACAATATGGAAAGTGGCAAAAGAGTGCAACGGGTCACCCGCTCACTGCACTGGATTAATCGGCTTGCTGTTTGGAGTTAAATGTCTGAACCAGCTCTATTATACTGTGCTGGAAGGTGTGAAGAAGCTTGTGTTAATGTCTCCAATACAATGACAATGACATAGTTTCACAAGGACAGAAATTAGGAAAATCTCAACCATTCAACTACTGATTTTTCTATTTCTCTCACTCAGGTTCATCCCTTGTCAAATGTTACATATCTATCTATTCACTCATATCTATGAGTGAATTTTGTCTCAACTCAGAAAAGATAAAACTATACCATTTAGGTATCATTTAACAAGAAAAAAAGCAACCATTGTAGAATAACAAAATAAATATGAACTTGTGTTTTATTTGTCTTCTCTTCTATCCCATTAATCGTCTCACTGCCCATCAGATTTACTTTGTGACCAATTAGAGGGGTCCCAAACCCTATGATGGGAACCACTACTCACACACATACACACACACACACTGGTTGATTCATATGAGATTCAACACAATAGCTGCTAATTTAAATGTGTTTGTTTTACCAGTGCTAGTAAGCTTAAAACGGCATATAACCACAAATGGTTAACGTGATTTTTTTTCAGTGTTAACTCTAATTGGTAATAACTGCCCAATTCTCAGGTTTTTGATTTTTTTTTAAATTTCTGTGTTAAATCGTTAATCTTTATGCGTCATGAAAATTATTGTCAGTTTATAGCTGCTAATCTTGTTTATAAGGCACTTGAGCTGACAATAATCTGACATGCAACTGCTTTTGAGGCAAGTCTTTCTATTCATCACCAATCTCTTTGTGTGTGTTTGTGCATGTTTTACAGATAACTGATGAAGAGGAAACACAGTTTATGACCAACTGCCCCCCTGCAGTGACAGAGAGCACTCCTCGCAGACGCACCAGCATCAGGGTGTTCTGGACTGCTCCACCGAGTGGCTCTGGCTGTGTCGTCCTCAAGTATGTGCTGTATACAGCAGCTGTATGCTGAGCTTGCCCAGCAGAGGCCAGCCCTCAGCTCAAATGCTTAGAAATACACTTTACCCTGATGCAGGATTAATTTATAAAATATATTTTTTGAAAAAATGGGTCCTTGTACTCGGTGAACTGTAAGTCATTATTTTATAAGAGATAATGTCGAGAGTTGGGCTGCCCCTTTCTATCAAATTCTTGATTGAATTAAATTTTTTTCACCTTGCGCCACTGCCTTCATGCATGATACTAGATACAAGCTTAGTCTACATGTTCAGTCTTGTATCAAAAATTGGTAGATTTGATTTGTTATTGACTCCTGCTGACCAATTAATATGTTTTTAAAAAAAAATTGTGTCATCAATTTAAAAATAAATATTATGCTCTAGAAAACATCCATGGCAATTTGGCAGTCTCCTGCTCCAACTTTGGTGAAGTTGATTTGAATTTGTTGACCTGTGATGACCTGCGATTATACTGTAATCCAAACAGATACATTGGTCTAAAATACAGGAAGCTGCCCTTTTAGTTCATTCAGTTTGAATGCAGTTCACTTCTCTGGCAGAACAAAAATTGTCATGCAAAAGATAACACAGCATGCAGTCAGTCGTAACACAAGACGGACCAATATGTTTAACCATCTGTATGCACTGAGCTTTGTTTGTAGCTGTGGTGTAGCTTTGCTGATGTGACATGCTTGATAACTATGTTCTTATACTCTGTAATTTTCTGTTGTGCCCAGGGTCTTGTCCTGTCTGAATTTCAGGTCCACTTCTCCTGAATCTTCCCATAATTCTATTCAGTAGGAAGGAAATTCCACCACTAGTGTAGGATGTAATAGTAACTGCGAGTTGGTTGATGCACATAGAAGAACAGAATTTTATAGAGCAACTGTATATATTCTTTTTAAATTCATGCTGATATTTTCGCACTTATATTAGTGCTGTTAGTTTGTTGTGCTGTGAGAGAGAGGTTGACATAGTAGGTTTTTTTTAAGCATTTAGTTAGCAAGTAGTTTTTTACCAAATGAACCAAACTCTGGCTTATCCAGAGTGTTAATCGTCTGATGTATAGAGCTACATCTCTCTGGGGTTGTGAGCTGTGCCACCACTATATATCAAGTCCATGTGTACAGTTAGTCTGTTTCATTACATTCCTTCCCCCCCCAAGCTAAGCAAAGTTAAATTCAGAATATATTATCAAATTTTCATTCCCACTTGGCTTCATAAACTATTCATTACCTTATACAGCTGACTGACACCAATCAATTTTTCTGGTGTGTGTCCTCTGGGCTTGCTTGCATACAGAAGGGTAGTGATGTTCAGCTGAAGACAGATCATGGCAGAAATCTGTTTATTAATCCTGTTCTGTGGGGAAATAATGAGAGTACAGGAGGTGGAGAGATATAGAGGGGAGAGAGGGACTGTGACTCACAAGGCCTTTTGATCAATGCTTTATTTAACTGTTTATGAGCCTAGTTGTTTCTCTGTTGCATGTCTACATCTCTTCTGTTCTATGTCTCCATGTACAAAGAGGAGATTAAAAAGGTTGCATTTTTTTAGTACTGCATTCATTATGTGACTGTTGCAGAGAGTGATATAACTTTCCCTTTTCTATGTCTCTGTGCTTTACATTCCCTTTGTCCTTATCTTTCTTGTGCATCTTCACAACCTAGCCTTTCAATAACCTCTGAGCTTTCCTTTATTCTGTCTGTCATCATTTCTTTCCACTCCTCACTCTCTCATCCCCACTTTTTATCCCTCTTCTCTTTGTTTTCATCTTCACTGTGGTGTGTGTTGTCATAGTTTTCTCTCACAGCAGGTCATGTTTTAAATCACACCTACTCTCCTCATGGAGACCACTGAGATGATGGCAGAACTGTATTCAGTTAAGCGCATGGATAGAGGAAAAAGTTGAAAGTGTGACAGAGTCCACAGCCTAGAGAGAGATACTTGAAAGTGCAGAGATGTGGCTGTAATACCAGCGCGCAGACAATGGAGGAGGGAGAGAACGATAAGCTTGCAGTTCAAAAGAGATACCTCTGAAAATCTTGATTACAGGCTAGCAGTGGGTATTTGCCACTGTTCTTCCTTGTACCTGGCAGTCATAAAGATGACAAGGTTTTTGTATGCCTTTGAGCTTCAACACAACAAAAGTTTTAATAAAGTCTTATTGATTTAAGAGGTACAACTCCTGTTACTACTTGACAAGTGCAGGGCTTTTTATATGAAAACTGTTCGGAGGTGAGAGATACTCCTGTTCACTATGGCTGTGTTATCATATAGCCCATACCAGCAGAGAAATATAGGTACATAAACATGCACACACTGTACAGTCAACAAATATGCACAGAAGGAAACAAAAGAAAAAGAAATGTTTGCTAATAATATAGATTAGCTTAGAGATAACAATTTCATCACCACCACAGGCAGGGTAAATATTCGATTTTAATTTAATTTCATATCCCAGAAGAGCTCAGTCACTGCCCATCACTCATGTGACCCACATGTCCCAGCAATCTTGCTCCTCCCGAGTGGTTAGCTGCAGTATAATTGATGGGCAGCTGCTGTCTTTTAGATGGAAAAACTGAGCTTGGTGGTTTGGTTCCATCAAAGATTGGTCCGTGATGATAGGGTCAGGCAAGGATGCTCATTCAAACTCCTGAACTCGGAGCACTGACTTTGAAAGTCAGCCATCAAATCCAGTTATTTTCAGCTGTCTTATATGGTGGACTCGAATCATGCCAAGGTTTCCCTCAATCGGTCTCTCTTGCTAGTATCCCACTCTTGTTTTGTGAAAATATATTCTATACCCTGACATCTCGGTAGGTGTTGTGGGTTTTACCCCTGCACTATTTAAATACTGATTTAACGCCAGCTGAAAATCTCCTCTTTTCTGATTTTCAGTGGTTGAATTTCTTGCTTTCCTGCAGCGATGCAGACTTGAATTCAGGGTGTGTTCATTTCACTTTGACATCACTGTTAAGTGGTTGATACAGGTGCAACACTCCAGACATCACCAAATAGTGATGCTGGGTGTGCTCAGAGGAGGGGTGGGATTCAATAGCATTTGATCAAATCCAGTATCAAATTTGATTTTGGAACCCAGTTCCTTTCAAAATTACTTATCTGATCTAATTAGGTTTAGCCTTCTTTTAAATCAATAGTCATTTATCTAAAACAGCAAAACAAACACCATTCCCTTCAGTGATTCTTAAGAAACCTGCAAAATGGATACTCTCCTGCTACTATATCTAATATCACACGAACAACATATCATGACAAACTAGAAAGTAATCTTTTGGCAATGTTACTGGGCACATAAATGTGACAGTGCTACCTGCTTGCTAACTCACTAGCTGGGAAACATAGCAAATATTATGTTATCCACTTTTCAAGCAGAAACAGGGCAACCTCGGATCTGCATCCATCTTCATGTGTCTTTCGACACTTGGAGGTCTCCAACATAGTCAGATTGGCCTTCATGACTACTGGGATAAATCCTGGTGGGCCGCTGCAGCTGTTGGCCAGTGGACCTTCAAGTTGGTTGCTGCATTGGTTGGTTGATGGAGGAATCAAGTCAAATCATTTTACCTGGAATCAGATCCAAAATGGAACTGGCTATCTGAACCAAACCCGAGTCAGAGGCGTAACAGACTTGAAAATTTCAACCAGAACAAGTCAGTGAAAAGGTTTCTTTTCATCTTGGTGTTATTTCCTAATTATTAGCTGCATGTAATGGAGATTTTTCTACTACTGTTTGATTCAAAATAGTGAATGATTGACCACAAAATATCCTGAAAGGACCAGCGTGTAGGATTTAGTGGTATCTAGCATTGCAGTTGCAAATTGCAACCAACTGAATATCCCTCCCCTAACTCCTCCCTTACAAGTGTGTAGGAGAACCTATGGTGGATCTTCAGGTAACAAAAGACACTCTCTAGAGCCAGTGTTTAGTTTGTCTATTCTGGGCTACTCTAGAAAAACATGAAGATGCAACATGGCAGTCCCCGTGGAAGAGGACCTACTCCCTTTCTAGATATGGAGGGCATATTCTCAGCTAACGAAAACACAGCGATTCTTAGTTTCAGGTGATTATACACTAATGAAAATATAATTATGAATATTTTATTCCATTTCTGCCAATAGACCCCCCTAAATCCTACACACTGGTCCTTTCAAACTCCCAAACTTGTTATTTTAACCCCCCCCCCCATCTCTGCTTCACTAATTTCTACCCAGATTGTTCTTCAGTATATCAGATCTAATGGTCAAAGCAAAACATCCCTCGCTGCAAGGTCTAACAATGCTGACTTTGTCTCTGTTCTAAATCAAATGTTTAACTTTATGTCTGATTGGATTTAAAATAATTGGCTTCCTTTCTGCTCAGCAGGGGCCACTTAATGATAAGATCTTGCGTGATCTGCAGTTGTCTGATGATAAAACTCTAGTCAGGGGCTATTGCCACAGTTGAGTCCTTGTGGTTGGCTACATCCTGGTTGTTCCACAGAGCCAGAGTAAGTCATATCAGAATATAATCTATATATTGCAGTCACCATTGTTGCCTCTATCTTTTATCTTTCCATTTGTAGGTGGGAAGCAATTTATTTGTCATCTCCCTCTGGCTTAAGATATGGAGGATAGTGGAATGTGTTTTGATGGGTTGTCTGAGTGAGACAGTATATCAGTGATCAGATGAATGTCACAACCTCATGCAGCTGTCAGAAACTGTTTATTTCCGTCAACACAATGATAGGACAGATCAAGGAGGACTTCAGGACACCATAGTCAAGCAGACACATAGAAATTAAATGTAAATACATTTGCTTTTGTGTAGTGGATTTATGTATTGTCTCTGAGTTGTTTCTTTTTTGTAAGTTGTGTTTGTAGCAGGAGCAGATGGAACAAAATGAATTCATTTAATCTCTGGTTCTAGCAGGAGCAGATAGAAGGAAATGAAAATTATTTAATCTTTGGTTGTAGCAGGAGCAGATAGAACAAAATGAGAATGTATTTTCTTCTTTTACACATCTGTTGGGCATGCAAATGGAAATGCAGCCACAGAAAGTGGCTCAGAAAATCTTTCTCAATCTTTTCGTTTTATTTTCTTTTTCTCAATCTCTTCTTTCTCTCTTTTTGTTAAGCTCTCACACATAAATTTATAAAAACACACACACACACACACACACACACACACACACTCAAATCAGTGCACTTTTGGGGTGATTGGGATCGGCAGTGGTGTGGATCCGGCAAAGTGAGATAGAATTTAAATTGGATGTTAAATAAGCATTACTCTACTTGATTGTCTGGCCAGCCCAAGAAAGTGAACAAGCAGTGAGGCACAGTGTGCTCCTCTCTCTCAGGGAGATTTGTGAAATTGGGGTGAGATTGAATTAAAGCGTGAACCATTAGAGATGTGCTGGTGGTGTCGCTTACCTTTAATAATTTTTATCCATGTTATGAGAGACCATTTTGGATATAAATCATACTTGCTCTCACACAAAATCATAATATCACATATATAGTACACATGTTAGACACAATAGTGATGTGTATGAGAAGTCAATTATGATGGGTTTGAGTGTGACTGAAAATACAGTGTCCAAGAGAGAAAAGATAGTTTATGTGTGAGAGAGTGTGTGTGTGTGTGTGTGTGTGTGTGTGTGTGTGTGTGTGTGTGTGTGTGTGTGTGTGTGTGTGTGTTTCACTGTATGTGAAAGAGTATAATTATGTACCGTATTTGAGTGTGTGGCAGCATTTGAGACAGAATGATTTTCTGTGGTGAAATGACATTGTATTGAAAAATAGCATCTTTACTAAAAAGCTTTTTGAGAAAAGGAAGGCAGTTGTGGCTTAAAGCCTTGAAATCAAAGCCTGAATCCACTCAGTGGCACTGCTTATAACATGTTGAAAGCTAAATGGAGGAGCATTTATCTGAAGATGGTGCATTGGAGTCAGAACCACAATTTAAAATTCAACAATTTTTGTTGGAATGGCAGGAAGGTCACTATTTTTATGCCTAGTTGGAGGGACTATGTTATCTGCCTAAACCTAGGCAGACTGACTATCTGCCTAAACCTAGGCAGACTGACTATCTGCCTAGACCTAGGCAGATAACATAGTGGTCTATCTGTCTAGGTTATCTGCCTGTCTGCCCCATTCTTGTAAATCTCAGGAACACCTTTAGGGAATTTCTTCAAATTTGGTATAGTAGTAGATTTTGGTCATCAAAGGTCAAAGTCACTGTGATGATCTAATTTGTTAATTGAATTAAATTCAATATGTTGGATTGATTTAATATAATTTGATTAAATGCACCATTATTTATCATATTTAATTAGTTTAACTCAACTCTATTTAAATGAAGTCAGTAAATTTAATTCAATTTAATTAATTTCACTCAATTTAATTCAATTCTAATTTTTTGAGCAAATTAGTTTTTAAGTAAGTTTATCTCTTAATTTATTTATTTGAATTATTTTAATATATTTAATGAGTTCAACTGAGGGTAAATCAAATCTAATTTAAGTTTTATTTAATTATTTGATATTTATTTTTTCTTCAATTTTTGGGTCAAATTTTGTCGAGCTGATGGCTAATGGTTAGATTGCATACCACATGAGCATTTGACTGCCGGCCAGCCGGACCATTTGCTACATGTCATTCCCCTACTTTTTTCCCCGCTCCATTTCCTTTATTTAATTAATTTCACTAAATTTAGATGAATTAACTTCACCCAATTAAGTTTATTTGAGTAATTTCAACTTAATTTAATAAATGTATCTCAACTAAAATTCATTGATTAATTTAATGAAATTAATTTAATTTAAACAAATTACATTAATTTAATGAAATGAAATGAAATGACCCTGAATTAAATAAAATTTAATTAAATTATATTATTCAATTGAATTTAGTTGAGTAAATAAATAAATTTGATATAATCAGTTTAACTCAATTGAATGTAATTGAGATGTAATCAATTTTGGGGGACCATTTGCTTCATGTTATTCCCCTGCTCTTTTCCCACTTTCTTCACTGTCCCTTGTCAAGTCAGTACATTTGTTTGATTTAACACAATTTGATTATTTTAACTAAATGTGATTTATTTGATTTGATTTTATCACTCAATGTAAGTTAGTTGAATATAACTCTAACTTAATACAGTAAATGTAATTTAATACAGTCCATTCAATTTGATTTAATTCACTCAAGTTGATTTAATTGAATTTTTTTTATTTGACTAAATTCACGTACAGTGTAACATTAATTTACTTTAAAATATATTTGTCTAAACATAACTCAATTACTTTTACAAAATTACTTTTTATTTTATTAATTTGAATTTAATTTTATTTGATTTCAATAAATAAATGTATGTTAATTTAATTTAAAATATTTAATATATTCCAATTAACTTAACTCAATTTAACTTAATTGATTAAACTTAGTCCAATTTATTTGAATACATTTAACTGTATGTAATTATTTTATTCAATTAATTGGAGTAAATTAAATTTTATGTATTTAAAGAAATTTAATTAAATTCAATCAACATAACACAATGTCCTTTGAGTAAATTTAATATATCTTTGTATTTGATTAATTTTTATTTAATAATTCATTAATGTTTTATTAATTTTATTTAATAATTTTAACTCAATTTAATAAATTCAAATAGATATGATTTAATGTAAAATATTTAATTGTTTCAGTAAAATGTAATTAATTTAACCCAATGTAATTGATTTTGGTAAATTTAATCTAAAATTACTACACTGCATACCAGTACTATAACCCTAACCTACCTACATGGGGTCCATTTACACACCTGGCTCATTTGAGTATAACATTTCCATGTAAAAGTGGGAATTAAGTGAGGTGCACAGAAATCTTCTAGGTCAATACACATTTTCTGTCCTCATGTCACTGTATGTATTTTCTTGCTGTGAGGATCCAGTTCTGATATCAGATCAGCTTAACAGAGCACAACACAACCCAGCTTAGTTTGATACTCCAGAATAAATGGTATCCAAACAGTCCAGCTGGACAGGGCCCACTTGGATCAGACCTTACCCACCACCTCCATCCAGCACCTCATTGTTAGGTGTTATCCCCATGGAAACCTTCCTACAGCTGTAGCTGGTGTAAAAGGCTGGTGTTTGTGGGGAAGTTAGGTGCCTGGAGGCTTGTTTTCTGTTGTTGTTTTCTTAAGTCTGCTGGCCTCTGAAAAGGTTTGTTTGTGGTTGATTTACATGTCAAGGCCCCTCTTAGACCTGTGTTTCCCACCACCCAGTGGAACATAGCTCTTACAGCTCAATCTGGAGGAGCTCCCCTCTGTCAGTTCAGGTCAATCAATCTAGATCTACTCAGTGCAGAGCCTACTATATACAATATATAGTTGTGTATATGTCTGTATATTTTCAAAGTGCTTCACTCAAAGTGACTGTCTGCAATGCAATAATATTTTTTTTATTTGCAATTGTTCTCTCTCTCAGTTTTCCCTCAGCTTTTCAACCTTTCATTTCTATGTACACGTGTATCTTAATACCAATGCATGCCTTTTGTGGTCTACGTATGAGGCAGTGAATGCCTCTGTCTGAAAGACAGCCTGATTAAGCAATTTCACTGTGTGCTCTGATACCTGCTTTTAGGAGTCTTCTGGTAAAAAATGAAAAATAAAATAAAAAAACAGGAAGAAGATTATGAATAACTCTACACCTGTTCCATCTGCCACAAAACACTGTTCAGACTCCTATAAGATCTTAAAAGCCAAGATTTTCCATATTTCCTGCTGCCTGTTGTCTTCTGTTTCTTTATAAAACACAGCTTTTCCAAATGCATCTTTTGTTGTTTTGTTTCACTTGCCTCTTATGCCTACATTTGAACTTGGTGCTGCCCCCAACAAGCTTCACTCCTCACTGCCTCCATCTCTTCTCTTCATTCTTTGTAGGGCAAGCATTGTGCAGAAGAGGATAATCTATTTCCAGGATGAAGGTTCACTCACCAAGCGAATGTGTGAGAAAGGTATGCTTTTTTTATTGACATGGAATAAATAATTTATTATGAATTCCTTTTCTTTCAATCTCCCTGCTGGTACTCTATTTCACTCCCCACTGATAGTCTCTTTTTTGTCTTTCTTTTACTCTATATTCTGTCATTCTTGATTTTGGTGTCCTCTCGGCTCTTATGTTCTGGCATGTGAATGATTGTAAATGAGTGTGACCCCCTTGCTGTGCATGGCATTGGATGCCACACTGAGCAACAGATCAAAAGAACTTGGCTACACATCCTCTCCTTTCCTCATGCACCCCCCACCCCGACCCCCACCCTCCCACACACACACACACACAATTTTGCACTTGGTATGCAATGCAGCAGTAGCAATTTGTACGTGTTTGGATTCCTATTATGGAGTTGTTAAAGCTTTTTCGCCTGTGGCCTGCAAATTCTTATTAAGCCATACATTAAAGAGCACAGAATCACATTTAAATGGAGTTCATGTTTCTCTTTTGTTTGCCAGTGTTGTGTTTGTTATTAATTTATTCTCAATGCCCAGTGCATTGCACATTAACAAATAAATCGTGTTTGTGATTGTAATGCAAAATGCTTGTTTCTTATTCAGAGATGGGGCCAGCATTTGTCAAGTAAACCAACAACAACAAGCCCAGAGAGAGAGAGTAAAAGGGAGAAAAACAACCACCAAAATGGAGCCATTCCCTCCTATTACCCTCACCCATTTGAGAAACAAACAAACAAACAAACCCAAAACAACAATGGCATTTCCACAGTCTTAGTATTTCATTACAAGCTGACGCAGAAAATAGAAGGGGAATTAGACAGCAGTGTGAGTGATTGAGTGATTTGCTTGGTGGCCATTGGAAATCATTAGGTTAGGGGTGCTGGGACAAGGGAGGCTATGGGGAGGGCTGTGTCTTGACACCAGTACTACAGTCAGCCACTTCAAAGGTCATGACCTTGTACAGACTCCATCACTGTCTGTCTTTCTTACTCTGAAAAGCAAGGCAGGATTGACCAGGGACTGTCCAAATCAGGAGGAAGAGA